CGCATTCTCAGCGAGCAAGGGTTTGAAAGCATATTTCACTCCCCTAGTTTTTTTCTAAATTATGTGGGATTTTCTTTTTAAAGGCTTACTGGACTGCAAGTCCAGCAAGCTGGGACTGTGTGAGCAACAAAACACTGTTAACCACTGATGATACAATGATGTTGCAAACCCAAATATTATCAGGGAAGAAAGGACTGCAACAGAAAGGTACCATCAATTTCTAAGAAAATATCTCCTTTTTTCCCCTAAGTACAATTATTACAGTTTTACTGAAAGAAGTAACAAGCAGTTAAAGTGAACCTAGACATAAGTAAATGGTTTAAAACAAGCATGAACTCACTTTTTCCTTCAGGTACTGCCACCAATTTATTTTTAGAGGAGAGCTCATGGATACAACAACCCAGGCATCACATGGTTTCAAAGAAAAGAAGAAAATGTATATAATGGAAGCTAAATCAACATGCATACAAAAATCAGAAGATTGCCCAGTTCCCCAAGAAAGGTGCATGCAATTAAAAATGTAGTTATCAAAAATCAAGCTAAGAAGCAGTATTTTTTCAAAGCAAAATAGTACAAGAAGGGAGTAAATTCATATGCGTGCCAGCAGCAATGTCAAAACAAAACTGAAATCACAAGTTGGTAAAGCAGCTGTTGCAATTACCAGATTTAACAGGCACAGGATATCAAAAAATCTAGTTGCAAGCTGCAAAGTATAAATTCTGGTCTCAAATGCTGTTTCTGTTCCAATATGTAGAGCTGACAGACAGATGCACCAAAATCTCACACAAACCTCTCAGTGCCTTTGAAAGCAAATGCATCAGGTAAATTCCGTATATTAATAACATCTAAAATTCATCATAAAGTCTGATGTCTATCACCCAAGACATCTGGAAAAGCACTGGGTATCTGCCACTGCCAAGGATGGATGCAGTGTCAATATAGGGAGGGGAACTAAAGCACCCTCTACATCCCCAAACTGGGTATTGACCCTGTCACATCCTTGGGCAGCCATCTCAACAGCGCAGCACTGCAGGGTGGGGAAGGCAATAGCATGAAACACGTGCTCTCTGGTACTGCGCAGTGTTGCAGTGACATTCCTCAGCTTTGGAGAAGTCAGAGTGTGGAGTTTAAGTTGCCAGTGGTGCAATACCAAAAGGAACAAGGGCTAATAGTGGTTCTATCCCTGCTTTCTTCCATGAAAAGGCGTATTTAGTTGCCTGACTGTCATTATACAGGTGAGAGAAGATACAGTAGGACCCAAAAGCTTCCTCCTAACGCTATTTACAGAGGGAAAACTAAAGGAGCTTAAAACAAGAGGATATGAAAATCTCAGCACAGGACAGCAGCAATGAGTGAGTTGTCAAGCCCTCAAGGATGTCCAGTGGATCAGGAAAAAAATGTATATTCAGAAAAAATCACACATCTCACATGATATTCTATAGCAATGTTCAACACAGATCTTACTCTATTTCTTGACATCAGAAGATATTTATCTTTTCTTCATTAGAAAGAGAGCTTGGTCATGACCAAGTGTTTCCAAAAACTCTATCTTAAAAAAAGACAAAGCAGATGCTGTTCACACTGTGAAAAGAATGAAATTCAAATACATGAGAAGGTGCCAAAAATTTCAAAACACTTAAGACTGTAGGGCTAACATTCATTCAAATCTTATTAATTTAAACCTTGGTTATGTCAATCCTAGATTATTTCTTAGTACACTTGCCAACAAAGAAACAGGATCAGGCTTTCACTTTAGTCATGCAGGAGACAAACATAAAACGTGCATCTTCTTGTGTGATTAGCAACAAAGACTGTAAGCACAGACAAAAAGGTTTCAGCCTTTAGCTACTAGATCTACCATCTTATTTCTGTGGCTGAGCTATAATTAACCTTTAGTCAGCCACCTCAATCATGAGAATAGATAATCATGGATTCTCTTTCTGTGAGCCTAGTCTTATCTTTATAAACCTTTATAAAGATTCTCAGAATTTTCAAAGAGGATAAATCAGACTGGGAGTGCAACCACCTTTACGGATCCTCAGAAGAATTTTACATCAATCTGCAGGTATGACGCACTATATGCCACCACGTGTAGTGTAAAACTTTCTTTATAACAGGTCCTCTAAAGACACCAAGCTAACATCATTGCCAAGTCCATTCACCAGGTAAAAAAAACAGGCCTTTGCACATTTCATTACATGAAATGTAATGTATGTAGTCATGTAGTCCCCAAGAAAGGAGATCCTTACAGTAATTTGAGTAAGATGCTCTCCAGTCTAGTGGTGTGGGGCTCCATCACCAAACGGCACAAAAAGTGTGCAGAGTAGCATGGGATGCGCTGTCCAGTCTCACTACTTCTAAATCTACTTTTTTAATCAAAGCTTTGCCACACCATTTTTTCTGTCTTATGCTAAACAGGAGTGCACCTGCATAGCTGTTCCTGCCTGTAGCTGTCTCTCAGAGGCACATTATGAGAGCAGCACAGTGAAATGGCCACGACACTAACACTGTGATGGTCCTCCTAAGGTCTACTTGCAGCAGAAGCATAAAATAAGCTGTATGACAGTACAGGAAGAAAATATAAAGAGGAAAGATGGAGGATGGTTAAACACATTCTTCTCGATTCCCCTCTCCTGCGCAGAGCACAGCAAAGGCTCACACCCATATTCATTAGTGACCCACAAATGTACAGCAACCAGAAAAGCTCCCTTTAGCACCATTCTTTCCGGTCTCATTGTGAAGCAGCAAATACTAGCATGGTTGTCTATCACAACCATCTCATGGTCCCACTGTAAATGTAAATCCCTGTGACATTGAAAACTGCCCCTACAGTTCTCCGTTCATAGCAGCAGTTATTCTCTGCTACAGACAGCACAACTACTGTATTAAAACTTTGCTCCTAGTTTTTTAATTTCTCAACAAAAGAGAGTCGAAAGGAAAGGCCAAATATTTACCTTCTAAAGAGACTTATTATGCAATAATCTTAACATCTGTTACAATGTTTTGGTGGGGTTTTTTACATATAGTTGGAAATTTTCAAAAACTACCTTCTGTCTTTAAAAATCCACCAAAATCCAATTCTACTTCAGATACCATTGCCATATACAAACACATATAATTATTTCAAGAAAATAAGCCCAACTGTTTGATTCCAGAACAAACATTGGTCTCTAACATTAATTCCTGTGCAGCAAGTACAACAGGAAAATAAAGCTATTACTACTGACTGGATTTTGTATCACATTCTAACATGCAAGAACATGTATTTTGTAACATTCACTTTCAACTCTATTTTTACCAGTACTACAGTGAGAAAAATCTTTCTTCTCTTTGTATAGATAAAAGCAGCTGGTAGAAGCTAACATAGCATCACTACTTTTAAATTAACCTAACCATCCTGCTTTTTGCTTCTCAGGTGCAGTTATATTCTCTGCCAAAGCCCACATGTACTGGCGTTTTCTCACAAAGGTCATATCAAGCCTCATTTGTAAAGCACTTTAACAGAGGAAAAAGCCAAAAAATCCCCCCAGATAAATAGTAACATACATAAAAATGAAACTCTTCATAAATACTCGTTTTGTTCATTCAAGAACAGTTTTTCTACTTGACTGAAGATAAGCATTAGACGATTTACCAGGATTTCTATGCATTAACAGAACGTTAAGTAGAAGGTCTAAAACCAAAATCTTGAACCATTTTAAATTTTGTGACTATTAACTCCCTAACTTAGCCCTGCCCCAAATGAAAGGAACTCATTTTCCATGTTTAAGTCTAACTAGATTCTTCTAAAACCAAACGATTGCATAAGATTCCCATTCTCTCTGAAATGTTTTCAAAATTTCCATATAGTTAGATCTGAAACTCAGCCCTGAGTTGCCACTGAGACCAGAGTGAAGTCCAAATTTTATCAGCATCGAAACTTCACTTCCTTAGGTTTCAACACCTTTGCAAATACAGAATGAATACATTAACTCACTTCTCTTTTTAAGGATCACATGGCATATATCGAGACCCTAGAAATCGAGCCATAAGTTAATTCTCAATTTCAGAATATTATTTAAGGCTGTATTATGGTGATGAAAAGCTTCCAATAGATTAAAAAATATATCTGCAACTGGAATTCAGACCTCCACTCTAATAAATATACTCAGTGAAACAGTTTTGCATTAAATAATTTGACCCCATTATAGTCTCTGCATGCTTGTTGCATGAGGCAATGCTGTCTATTCAATATTTATTTTCACTGTATAGTAAGAGCTTATGTTATACTTTTTTAACTATTATTTTTATATTAAACTTAAGATCCCCAGAGAATTCTACAGCAGTACTGTCACAGTCATCACAAACTTATAACTAAGCTGTGACTTCAAAAATTTATTACATTGTCACTAATAAATCCCATTGCTAAGTGCTAGCTAGCTATTACGACTTATTAGTCCACGATGTCTCACTAATTTTTTTTTTTAAATAATTGTTTTGCTCTGGAAATAGGAATAGTTGACACTTTCCTAAATCAGAGACTTTCTACTTAGGAAGCAAAGTACCTCCATAGCAAGTCATTCCAAATGGCAAATGACAGCTACAGAAACAAACATACGGCGAAGTAACATCAAATGGCCACTCGGAAATCTAAGATGTTCTTTTCTGATAGGATTTTAATTATCTCTCATATTTAAAGAATTTCCTGTGTGGCATACTAACCAAATACACCCACTCTGGCCTCAGAGAAATGCTGCGATTCATTCAGTATGTTGAAGAGAGACACTCCTTATTTTTTTCCTTTGCAGAGGATATCAAGTATCTATCTGTAGTGATAACTAGAGAGTGACTAAACTGAAAAGAAACAGTACTAGGCATCTCATGTTATCAAACAACAGGAAAATAGATCAATATGTAAAAGTAGTTCCCTAGTCAAATCTCGGGAAGAACAAAATATTAGAAACATACTCAAAGTTGTCTGACATTAATTCTGATATAAATTAAGTCGAAGCATAACTTACTGGTAAAGTTCCTGGTAAAGAAGCATCAAAGAAAGATACCAAAGAGTTAGGAGCTGCTGCAAACTGGACTTGGGAACCAGAGAAAAGCTTTGAGTTGGAACTGATCTGTGCATGAATTTCCAGACCCACAACTGGTACCCATGGAGCAAGACTGAAAAGGAAAGAGAAGGGAAATGCAATTTAAATACAGATGACATTAAACCCCGTAAACATCTAAAAAGACAAGAATTAAGAACTTTTAATTTACTCTTTTAACAAAAATTAAAGTGTAATTGTAAAAAAATTGTAAATGAGGTTGTAAATATATCTAGAGAGTAATGGCAAAGTTGTGCTGCAATACTGGAGAACCGAGACTAATTGACAATATATACGGAGGGGTCTGTATGGCAAAGTGTCTTCATTATATACAGAAAACAATGCCGTAAAAAATAAATGTAATGGTCTGAAACTTAATTTTTCCTTACATGAGAAATCTTAGAGAAATTAATGAGGCAAACTTGCATGCTGGATGAACCCTAATTTGGTACCTCATGAAAATCACAAAATCATCATAAATATCAATTACTTCTCAGGTAGTTTGATAAATCTCCAGCAGACAGGTGGCATAATAAATTATATATTCTTTGTCAGCTAGTCACTTGCATGCTGGGAAAGGTGGCTCCCCAGAGCAATGTTAGGAGCACATTAGCATAAACATTAGTAATCTGGTAATAGAGAAATCATCATTTCAACTAGAGAGCTACTGCTCTCTGAACATACTCCACAGAATAAAGCTTCTCCATATCATCTAAAAAGTAATTGCAATTCTCACATCCATAACCTTTATATGGACAAGAGAAAAAGGTCACCTTTACAGTATGAATTGCTTGACAGTTTCTGTAAGTAATTATCTGGCCTTGTACAAATGAAGTGGCACAAATAATATTTCAGTGATGAAATCACATTTCTATGGCAGAATACTTCAGCAGTATAAGTACCCAGATAGCTATACGAGATAAGAGAGCCATGGAAAAACATCAAACAAATATATCAAGTACAGTGTTCCTTCTAAAGGTGAACATAATAACATTGCCAAGATTTCAGTTCTCTGTCTGCTGTCCAACATCTGAGGACATCCCTACAAACACCAAACTAGTGAAGCAGATGCCATTTATATTGCTGCTTTAGGAAGAATAATATTATCATAAAAGATTAAGGTTCAGATGTTTAAAGGAGCTAATACATTTTCTTTTACTGAAACATAACATTTTCTTTGGTATTTTCAACTATTCACAAAAATTCCTCAAGGTTTAGAAAAAAAAGTTTTAATTTTGGAGGCCAATTTATTTCATTGTTTCCTGCATTCTTTAGAAATGCATCCTCGTTGCATCATGGCATTAAAAATTATATCAGGCTTTGCTTAACCAGTGTGTTGTTGGCTTACACTCAGATAAAAAGATATGTGCATCAGTCAGTCCTCGATTCCTACTAACAATACCGAGGAGAAGCCTGGAGTTTCTTGCCATGTTTCTTCAAGGTTTATGTTTGTGTCTCTAAAGAATCAGCGGCATATTTCTGCCCCTGTCTGCATAACTTCACTTAGGTGATCAGTTGTGCAGAGAGAAAGCCGAACCTCACCAGAGAACAGGAAAGCTTGTACAGGCCATAACTTTCAGTTTCACGTTTCTCCACTGGAAGAGAAAGCTTCCTTTGGACCAGAACAACCCTTCAAAACATACTGTGCAAAATTGGTACAGCCCTTGCTGTTTATACTCTGAACATGTGAAAGCTAACGGTTTCCGATTTGCTTGCGTTGTGTGGGAATCTTACCACAGCCAAACGTGTCAAAGGGACAACAGCCGTACTGCGAAGACAAATACCGTTTGGGGGGTTTTGGGGTGTGTGCGAGATAAATGCGTGCTCAGAAGGTGCTGCCAGCCATCAGCAAGCTGTAGATGCCTTACAGCACTCAGAAGATGGTATTTAAAGCGGGCCCTGCTGCTACCGCCTCGCGATCT